CACAAACCCTTTTTCAGAAGTCATTCATTGACACGTGGAAACACATTTGTGATAATCATGTCTGACAAGCACAAAACTATTTTAGCTCCATACCAGAGTAGACGACTTTATTTTTTATTTTCACCTGAAGTGTGCGACCTCCTCTAGACCTGTGAGCACATTCTCCTAGCAAGTGGCAAACAATCCCAGGCCGGAAGAATGATGAACATCAGACTGTTGGACAGCCACAGAAAATAAGAGAACTCAGAAGTCTCTTCCCACAGCCATTCAACTATTTTATTACAAAAAAAAAAAAAAAAAAAAAAAAAAAAAAGTATCAAATAAATTTACATTTTCCGTGGAACTCCAGTGTTCAGCCTGATTTAGTTACCTTTTTGCTAAGGACAGATTTCAGCATTAAATTCTAGCCTTGCTAGGAATATGAGTATATGAGTATACTTTCGAATCAGCTCCAACCAAGTAGCACAACTTAAATGGGAAAACACATTTCACCAAAAAGAGTATCTGAAAAAGCAAAAGTTACTCCATTATTCTTTATCGCACAAGGTTTTGCAAAACAATTCACAGTCTACATTATTTGCCACCTCTGCAAATAATCAATAACAAGTAGAAACATGTAGAAACTCAAAAGAAGTTCCTTATTGATCAAACACAGAAATATTACAGACATTAGATGCTGGATATTACAAAACACAAAAATAGGCAATGCAATGGCAAATTTAATTGTGATGGATGGAGATGGTAAAAATTTAAAAAATTACCTATTGCATGTTTTTGTAGGTCAGTATTTCAGATAAGGCTGTAACACTAATTTATTGGGTTTTTTTAATATTATGAAATAAGTGATATTTTTCATAATACAATCCTTTTAGGTAGGCAAATAGTAATAATCAGCTCCTTTAACTTCAAGTCACTGAACTGAACTTGCCCATCACAAGTACCCTTAACAAGGATCCTTAATAGTGGCCCTCAGCAAAAAAGCCTCAAGCACACACAGCTCATTTCTGCTTTGCCAAAACACTGGCTGTGAGAACACTGCAGAAAACTTCCATAATTGTTTATAAACTGCATCACATCCAGATTTTGCATCAGATGCATTTCAGAGCCTAACCCTAACCCTCTCCCCCAAAAAACACAGAATCAGAGTTCCTCTTTTTGTTAAAATCTGAATTAAATGCCCCTAAAAAAACACATTTTGCAATGTGTTTGATTTCCAGAATGTAATCGAGATTTAAGCTACACATCCTATATGAAAGCTAATTTTTTTAGCTGAATATTGGATTTGTTGTTGCTCTTCAGTTATCATTGTCCTCAATTTAAGCAATATTGGTTCCACCAACAGAAATAATAATTTTATTCAGACAGGAAAATATAACTGGTTTAGAACTCCATACCATAGAGGCAGAACTGCTTTATAAATTAACATTCTTATGCATTTCACACTCAATATTAAGCCTTGGGAGTTTAATCTGTAATCACATGAATGACAATATACCTTAGAAGGGCCAGAAATAGGATATAAAAAAAGTCAAAGACATGCAAGTAACAGTGACAATGGTCTCTATAACAATGCCTTGCCAAGCCTGCTATTGGCCATGACAGGAGGACTCACTCTCCAAGTCATACTGGAATACACTTGTGGTACTCCTCCATGCTACAAGGAGGAAGCAAGGGTGAGAAAGGAGAAATTTCAACATTCATCTATTTACAGGTGTCTATTCACCTACTTATAATTGCCTGGGAGTTCTCTCAGAATTAAGAGGTAGGAATTGAAGCTGTAGTGACAAAGCCATAAACAAATAAGCCCAATGGCACCACTGCATTTTTCTGGAGCTATCAGTCATGCACCCTTTGTATTTACTAAATTCATTTCTGAAAAGCTGATCACTAAAAAGGGGGAAAATTGCTAAAGGCACAGGTTGACTTAGGTTCCTGTGCTATATTGTCAAACGGAACTATCTTTAAAAAAATAAAACAGCAAACACACAACTCTTCAGCTAAGCAGACTGTGATTACACTGATGTGATAGACTCAATTACTTAACTGCCAGGGGGCCTAATGCTGTCCATACAGACAGAAACAAAGTTACACATAAAATTACTAGAAGATTCAAGATATCTCTTGATATCTCAAGAAGTATGATTTTGTTTTCTCTTCAGAAGTTCATTAAAAGGAACACAAGACCTGTTTGGGCAGCCACAAGACAAATTCAGACAAATAATAAAATAAGGATTTCTTGGCCAAAGTGCTGCAAGGACAACTCACAGTTAAAACCAACCAAACAAGAAGAGCTAAACAGCCAGATATGATCACTATGCTTTAGAAACATATTTTAAAATACAAAAAGTATGCCTCGGTATTTGCAAATTAAGTATTGGCAAGCCATTAGGTAAGTTATATGCAAAATAAAATCCCAAGACATTTTTGATAAATCAACAGACGTTGTGCTTCAACATAACTCTTGCTGACTTAACTGATACAAAGATAGAATATTCTGGGTTTACAGTAACACTGCAGATCCTACTGCCTAAGGGCTGGTGATATGGAAAATAAATTGTTTACATCCACACTGGCCAGAGAGTTTTTTTTTTTTTTTTTAATACTTGTTTCAAGTACCACAGAATTGAATTTATGTCAGAGTCACTGACATAAAACAGAAAGTGGAACCTTGGAAAGATTTGTGACCCAAGCCCCCATTTCCTATGCCTCAGCCTATAACCTTGTTCATGGGGATATTTGCATGTGAAACAGGGATAACTGCTACAAAAATACCAGTAACTGCGTGACTGTTGCCTCTGAGGCAGCTGCTAATTCCTCACGGAGCTCCAGGCCACACTGACACAGTCAAGGATGTCCATAGTTCACTAGCAGAAAACCGTTTACCCACTTGACAAAAATTTCTACAGCTCAAATCAAAATACAGAAGACAGGCTTCTTTTCTTACAAGCATGTTTTGAAAGACATCTAAAATTTGTATTTCACCAGGATTCATTCATAAACCAGGACTACAATAAATCAGACTTCTCCCGAGATGGTACTTACATAGACACAGTTCAACTATTTCAGTACAGGATTTTAGAGCAGCAAGCAATAAAGCTATTTCTGCCGGAAACAGCCCTTAAAACATTTTCACACCACCATTCACAATAACAACTTAATCCTAAAGGGAATGACTGGGCTTTACTACATCCTAGAATACAGAGACAAGATCACTGTAGACAGCTCTGACTCAAATGTTGAGATTCAAAATAAATGGACAAAAAAAAAAAAACAACTTAACAAAATGCACAAAGCAATAATTAGAAGTAAACAAAAAGTACAGACCCTTGATGCTCTAGGATGCAGAAAGTCTTTTAAATAACAGATTGCCTTTATGCCTACAATGCTTCTTTCTTTCTGAGTGTTTTGGTTATTGAATATCTATACAAAACAGTGACTGACAACATTGCTAAATACATTTTCATGCTATTACAAGGAAAACTACAGCTTCCATTATTTCACAGAACCTCTTTTTATTTCTAGGTACCCATGGATAGTTTTCTATTCCAAACAATATGCCAGCTATTTGTAACCCATGGGAAAAGAAAACAAAACCCCCAAAACACCCCCACCACCACTCAAACACATTTTCAAAAGCCACTACTATTTGTGAACAAAAGATCCTGGGCCTCTCAGTAATATTTTCGTCTAGGACATTATTTAAAATTATCCATTTTCAGCAACTACCCCAGTAGCAAAAAATGGAGATGAGCCACAATATGAGAGAACCTCCATAGAAAAGGTAGCTTTGTTTTCCAGGAATCGTATAGAAAAATGCCTCCATATTTATTTCACCTAAAAGTCTGGGTAAATCCAGGTCCGCACTCACGATATCCAACACAGTGAACACACCAAGCTCTCCACACTCACTGCTGGATGCTCATCACATCCCTCGTACTTGGAACCACCTTCCTACTGAGCGGGGACCGCGATACTCCAGGCGATACAGCTTTTACTGCAAGGGATCCGACACGCTTGAAGGTACATCCCACCCACAACACGGAGCTCTCATTCCCCCGAGTGCGAACTCAAGTGCTCTCCTCACTCTGCTCCGGACACACTAACTGCAATTCCCACCTTAAGGCACGTTGGGAGAGGGGACAAATGCCCGATTCCCTGAGACCGCCCCTCTCCCCTGCAATGCCCGATTGATTCCCTGAGACAGCCCCTCTTCCCTGCAGGCACACAGACCGCAGCACCTTGCCCCCACCGCGCACGGAACCGTTCTCCGCCCCGCACAGCCCCGGATCCGGCAGCCCGGGCACACGGACAGCTCCGGCTCTGCTCCCAGCACCCAGGGGGCAGCGACCTCCACCCTCCGAACACCGAGCACTAATGAGCTCGGACACGCACGGCCGAGCGGTGCAGGAAGCCCTTCTGCCCGCACAGCCCTGTGCCTCCGCACACATAAGACGCACACAGAGCCCTGTGCCCTTCCACGCCCTCACACACCCCTGTGCTATCGCACACGCTCACACAGGGCTCGCCCCCGCCTCCACGGGCACCTCCGGTCCCCCACTCTCCTCGCACACAGCAGGCTCGGTGTGCCCCGCTCACAGCCCACACCTGCATGGACGCTCGCTGCACACTCACGGGGCAGAACGGGCCCCAGTGCGCCCAGCGGGGCAGCCTTGACACATCCTTCAAACCTCGGCCCGGTGCCTGCACAGAGAGCCCCCCAAACGCGAAGCCGCCCCCCTGTCCCCCACTGCCCTCACCCAGCGGAATCCCCGATCCTCACCCACAGCGGCCGCTCCCGTGTCACCCCCTCAGCTGCCCCCACAGCCCTCCCCTGCCACCGCGGGGATCCTCCCGCTGCATCTCCGCACCCAGGCCACCTGCCACCGCCCGGCCCCAGCGGCCACCACAGCGGGTCCACGCCCCCCGCCCTCAGCGCCGGGCCCTCAGCGGTCCCGCAGGACGCTCGCAGCCCCGGCCTGGCGCTGCCAGGGCCCCCTCACCTGCTTGCGTGGTGTCGCTCAGGTCGCAGCCGCTGCTGGGGAAGTCGCGCAGCTTCCTCCCGCTCAGGCACAGGATGCCCGAGCTGCCCGCCTCCTCCAGGGCCCGCTCCAGGCTCCGCACCGTGTGCGACTGCGGCAGAGCTGCTGCGCCCCAGTGCGGTCCGGACGAGAAGGAGAGCGTGAGGTGCGCGGGGATGCCGAGCCCCGCCGCTCCGCTCCCGGCCGCCGTCCCGGTCCCGCTGCCAGTGCCGTTGTTGCCACCGCCGCCGCACCCCTGCCCGGCCGCCATCTTGACCGGCCCCTCCACAACAACGGCCGGGACCACTGCGCAGGCGCCCCGGGGCCCGCAGGGGGCGCCGCGGGCCTGGGCGGGGCATCCCGGCGCCCCTCGGCCGCGCCAACCAATCCGCGACAGCGGCGCCGCCGAAGGGCGAGGCTTCCTGAGGGGCCGTGCGGCTGTGTGCCCGACGGCTCGTGTGCCGCTAGAGGGCGCTGCCTGGAGCCGAGGGAGCAGGATCAGAAACGGGAATAGGCTCGGGATCGGGGTCGGGAACGGGATCGGGACCAGGACCGGGATCCTCTTAGCAACGGAGACATCCCGGGAGCGAGGGAGGGTCCCGCAGCCGGGACGGGAGCGGGCGCGGGGGGCGCCGTTCGGGAGGCTGCGGGGAGGGTTCGGAGCCAAAGGAACACGGAGAACATCGGTTCGGCAGCCCCGGCGCCGCTGCGAGCGTGGCCCTGCCCGGCCGTGGGGCCGCTCGGCTCTGCCCGCTGCCCTCACGCACCGCTCTGGGGTGCCGTCGCCTCTGCCCCAGCACCGCACAGCATCGGCCGCTCCTCGGGCCTGCAGTGCTCCTGCGCCGGCAGCAGCACAGCCTCTGTGGCCTTTACCGGGCACGGACTGCGGATCCCCGCGTGTGGCAGCGGCAAAAATCACCCACGAATCGGCTGTGGCAGCTCAAAGGCAAGACGAGCGAGCGGCTCACCCTAAAATGGGTGAAGGAACACTCACGAAAGCCCCACAGACACAAATGGGCGGAGCTCAGAATGTGAACGGGCAGTGGGGGGACAGAAGCCCCCTTGCAAGGTCCAGGGACCAGTTACCTGAATAAAATGCTACAGAACTGCAGGGATACTGGATGGATGGATAATTAATTACCTCTTGTACCATGTAATCAGTCCTTGGTAGGTGCTGCATACTTCTCTTCCAAAAATGGCTCTGGAGCTGTGTTTAGGAAATGCTAATGAAAGCCTCATAGACCCACATTTTAATGCAATTGTCATATGTTTGATGAGCAAAATCTGCTTTTAAGCCTTGAACCTCAGGAAGACCCTTGAATTCTTGAATTGGTTTGGATTGGTTTTTTGTTTGTTTTTGCATGCATATGTCATGCCTAATTGGGGGATCTAAGGGAAATTCCCTCTCTAGGGGGTATGGAAGAGACTGGCCTTCAGCCAGCAACAGGTCACTGATAGACAGCTGAGCCATTATTGATCACAAAAGGACCAGACCTGAAATATGATGTGGCTGATGTCTGGGTGAAATTCAGCAGAACCAATGAGCCAGGGTCTCTGAGCAGGTCCTGAAGAGTGAAGGCTTCAATCCTGCAGTGCCATGCTGTGTGCATTTGGGGATCACCCTGTCCTGGCAGATAGATTGCCCTTCCAGCAAAGAGCTCAGTGTGCAAAATGCAGCTCTGGGGGAAAGGGGTCCCATTGTCACCTGCAAATATTGTGGCTGTCTGCCTCCTCTGCCTTAGCTGTGGGTACTTGTGGGGGCTCTGGGATTTGAGCTTTCAGATGAATATCTGCCAATCAGTCTGACTGGGCCAGAGCTTCTGCTCTTGCCCTGAAAAAAACAATCATTCCCCAGATTCACAGCAAGAAAATCAGGCCAACCTGTATAAACACTGCTGACTGCTGCCCTTGGTTAAGGTTCCAGTCAGAGAGGGTGGAAGATGAATAAACTCAGACTGGCATTGAGCCAAGTGTGTAGGACGATTCTGCCTGCAGACATGGAGCAGGAGGCAAAGTGGCTCTGCAGCTGGTAAGAGTGAAGCAGAGCAGGGGCCCTTTGGAATGACAGATAAATAGAAAGCAAAAAGCAATACTGGAAGAATCCTCCACCAAGTGATGTGAAATGCAATGATACAAGTGGCTAAAGGTGAATGGTAGTGTGGGTTCCGTGCAGTGACCAAGCAGGGCCACTCAACTATACTGGTGTCCTCCCTCCCCTGGGATGCAAGATGCACTGTGGGGACTCTCTTCTAACCCTTTGCAGTTGCTCCTTCATTTTTAAACTTCTCAGACACCATTGGAGGTGTTACTCTGGAGGTGGTGTTGCCTGGCCTGAAAGAGACTAGAAGTTTTTCATGTCACAGAGCTGCCCCTTCACAGTGGCCCCGGCCTTTGCGCAGCCATCCTGGCTGGGAGCTCGGCCAAAGCAAGATGCTGCCAGTCCCCAGGTGGGGAACTGCTGACCCACCTGTCCAGCACAGGACAGTGCATGGGAACTGTCAGACACTGGATGAGCACAGGGCACATGTGCCCCAGTGATGGCTCAGGAAGCAGCTAAACTGGGTCACACGAATACCCTTCCCAAAGGACAGGCAAGCCCTGTGCAGCAGTTCACTCTGTTGACAACAGCGGGGATAATTCTTTTAGAGACAATTATTCTGTGGGTTTAGTACTGTGGCAGAATGAGTTATTGCTAAGCTCACACTGTGCCCTCTCCCAGTATGTTTTTAGTGTGATGGTTATGCATTTTGGCTGCTTGTGAATTCAGTGCAAAGCCTGTTTTATATCCTGCTACATAAAAAGTCACCCAGCACTGCAAGGCAATCAAGCTAGGAAAAAAAGCAGTTTTACCAACTAAGCCCTCAATATAAATTTAAAGAGCGGTTAAAAGATTATTAAGGTACAGATTGCTAAAAACCATTTCTTTGGAGAATAGAAACAGGGTGCAATCTGAACAGCAAAAGGATGTTTCCCACTCAGCTATTCTTTCATGACTGAATGGCTCCATCCCTTTGCAATCTGATTGAAGAAGTACTCACGTTTTCCTAGCGAGTCTGCCATCTTCTGTCCATATTTATAGTCAGGAGGCAACTGAAATTACGAATACTGCCATTTGTGACAGTGTTTCTTGCTCAACTTGTCAATTTCTATGACATACAGACTATTTGCATAGGGGTGCATTTGTTTAATTCTGAACATACTTGTCTTGGTTTGGAAAGGCAGGTGTCTGCTAAGGAAGGCAGGAGCCTGCCCTGAAATGATAAAATGTAGACCCCTTCCCTCTGAATTGTTATAAATTTGAAATTAAGGAGGGCTCTCAGGCAAAAATGTGGAAGCAGGAATAACAGTTCTTTATTAGGGAAGGAAAAAAAAAAAGATAAACAATGCAGTGAACCAAAACTACACTGACAGAGTCAGAATACAACCTGACACTCTGTTAGTCAGGGTGTTGGTCGCAGTCCAATTGGGAATTGTGGCTGCAGTCCTCCTGGAATGTCAGTTGTGGTTCTGTTGGAGCAGTGATCCTGTAGAAAAGGTGTAGTCTTCCTGCAGTGGAAGAGACAGCTGTTCTTCTGGGAAATCCAGTGCAGAAAAAGCTGTGCCGGTGTTCCAGAAACTCAAGATTATATGCAGGTAGAAATATTTGGCTCCTCCCTCTGGGCGGAGCATCTCACAGTGGGATGTTCTAGTTCTTATCAGTCATGCAGTGACATTCAGTGGCCCATAATCAGCAGATGTCTCCCCTGAGTGAGCATTGGTTGTGGACGAGATAAGGACAGCCTACTTAACAGAAGACAACTGCTATACAGATGGCAAATGAATACATCTTGCTTCTCAGTCTGGGACAATACTCAGAGCCAGGACTGCTCTGATAATTTTGCCAGTAACATTCAAGGCATAAGAGACCACAGCGAAAATTTTACCAAATACCTATTGAAAATCTCACACTGCTTTGGAGCCAGCTTTTAAAGCAGTAAACTACCTTCAGATGGGCACCAATGTGGACCAGTTTTCCCCAAAGCACCAGCCCATGCATTGTCATGCACTGTCACTCTGAGAAGCTGAACTTGCATCAAAGAGCTGTTGAAGAAAAGGAAATAACCAGAGGTGATATTTGACAAGTTATGTTTTTTATTCACCGCACTGGACTCATACAGCATTGCTTCTTCAACTAACATTTCACACATTCTTATAAAACGAATGCCAAGTCCAGTCTCTTGTTAAAGATGTTTGGTGTAAAATGTAAAGCAGTCTATCAAGTATTTCCTGTTATAAGTGTAGCTTAGAGCCCAGTAACAGGCTGTGTCCAGCATGCTCAGTGCTGGGTTCCAGCAGTGGATGGAGAATGGAGGAGTTACTCAGGGCTGATGCAGGGCTTCAGTAACAAACATCTAAACCCAGCTCATTAACATCTCACCCAATGTTTATCAGAGTGCTGCTGCTGGTTTGACTATGCTGTTGCTTTGAGCACAGGTGGAGCTGCAACTACAAAAACTCTAATGCAGATCTACTCAGCACTGGAAAATGTGATCTGGGCTGGGGCAGCCTGTCTTGCTCCATGCTGTGGACAGTGACTCCAGCAGCACGGCATGGCATGTCTCACCCTATCCCTGTAGCAGCAGTCAGAACAGCATAGCAATCCACAGAGAAATGAAAAGTGCGCAGGCCTGATTGCCAGGGCAAAGCAACAAGTTTTCAGGGTCGAGTGGTCTTACACTGCAAACCTCTGGGCAGGGATGCCTGTAAGCACAAGTTGGGCAATTAGATGGATGCTGGTGGCTGTGGGCAGCTGCAGCATCTCCACTTTCCTGTCTCCCATGTGGAGACATGGAGACAGGAAAGGACATGGACACATCATCAAACCCTCCTACCCACCAAGCAATGTAGGGAAGGCTCCATGGTACACCCTCCCACTATCAGCCATCACCATAGTCAGCACAGGGTGCCCTGGAAGGGGGACACAACTGGTGCCAGCCCTACAGCTTTCCAGCAGAACTCTCCCTGTAAATCCATCTCCGCCCATCCCCCTCCACTACCTTGCCAATGTCCCTCTGGCCCAAACTCTCATCCTGCCTGATCCCTGCCCTCAATCACTCATTTACTCTGTGTGTAACGAAGGAGACAGCACATTGCCAAATCAGCTATCTCAAAGGGAATCTAGCGACTTTTATTGAGGCCTCGTCATGGAGCCTGGACTGTCACATGCAGTCCCTATGACGAGCACGCGGTCCTATGGCATGGTGACTGTCCGTCCGGCGCTCCTGGCTGCTGTAAAGCGCCTCTTATTCCTCAGACTAGAGAACCTCTCATCCAGCGTCAGGCTGGTCTGCAGGGGAAAGTGAGAGCAAGTCAGTTCCTTGTCTTGTGGCAAAGCACAGCCAAACTTGTAGCGGGGTATTGATTAGAGCCCATCAGTCAGGCTAGTGATTCACAGCTGGTTAGTCAATTAAACCACTCAGCACACAGAGACAGGGCGCTTGACAGACTGTGTGTGGCTGGAAAACCTTCAAGCAGCTCCGAGCCCCAAGACACAGGGCATCCTTGGCAAGAACAGGAGCAAGCAGATGGCATTTGAGTACAAGGCATCAGGTAAAAACCAAACCATCCAGACAAGAAACGCCGCCAATGAAGAAGGTGGAGTGGGATTTCTCAGCTGCCCCAATGCTCTTGGACCATACTTCAGTGTAAAATGTGACACCAAGACGGGCACCAAAGCAAAGAGCAAGCAAAGCCCAGAAGTGCCATTTGTCTCTGAAGAATGGGAAGCACTGACAGTGAAACAGTCCCCTCTGGTCAGGACTACTCATCAGCAGGACCTCCCTGCTCCAAGCGAGCACATGGACAGGCCAAGACAGGCCATCAGAGTGGGGAAAACTGGGCTGAGTCTGTAGCTGCTGAACAGTCTTCTCAAGTGCCTTCAGTTTTGTGAGCAACCTGGCCAACATAGCTACAGGACTTTCCTCCCAGGTTGTGTTAGATAAACCCAGCTGGCAGCCCCAAAAACCTGAGTGTGACATTAACAGCTCAGTGGCAGGGCTGCTGCAAGGAGCCAAGTGCCTCCTGTCCGGTCGACAATTGTCTACCTGGTTGGCCATGGCGCGGAAGTTGAATCTCAGCAGCACCCCCTTGGGCTGGGGCTTGGCCACCCGTGCTGGGGGTCTCTGGCTTCGCTGGAATGGGCGCTTGGATCCAGGCCTGGGGAAAGGACAGAGCTGCAGCCACTCAGGATGCTAAAGCAGCTCACTTACCACCCTCTGCAAATCTGCACGGAGTAAAGGACACACCCGCACACTCCACCCGTCCCATGGTGTGTCTGACCCCTGGCAAAGCCAGGAGTGCAGCTGTGCAGGCAGAGTTGCAGCACTGGGGGCTGTCACATCCAGGCTATTGAGGGGTGCTCTCTGCACCCAGAACACGCACAATGCCCTCACCCACCCTTCCCTCTGCCCCCAGCTGGGTGCCAGGTCCTGCAGCTGCCCCTTTCCAGCCTCTGAGCTCCTCTTACACAGGGAGCACGAGGTCTGAGGTCTCCCTTTGGGGCACGCTGTTTCTCCCAACACCCCACAACCAGCACAACCAGCCTGCCACCTCTTCCCACAATGGTGCTTCCATTTCTCCTCACTCTGCATAACAAATGAGGGCAAGATAATTACAGATTACCATGCAATTACAGGTAAATACAGGAAATTTGCATCTCCTTCTGGTATGCTGGGAAACAAACCAGACATCATTTGCTAACCATTTTGGGTCTGAACCATTCACTGCACACTCATTACAGAAATAAAGCTGCAATAATGCTAAAGGAACTTGCAATGGCTTTTGTAGGGTTCCCACACTAACAAATCACCTCATTTACTTACGGGCTGGGCTGGCCTGCCTGGGGATTAACCACAGAAACAGTCAGAATTGCTCCTGGGCTCGGTTTCACTTGCCACCTGCCAAGACAGGGAGATTTATCCAGCTTCAAGCCTGAAAAAGCACTGTTGTATTTGCATTATGCCTTTGTTCCCCAATTACCTTCTCATCCTTGGTGGTTTCCCTTCTCCTTGAGAATCAATCTGCTGTAAAATATATTTTAAAACAATTACTTAAAATAAATAGCTCTCAGAAACAGTGATTCCTTTTCCAGGATTTTGTTTGGTGTATCTGAAGAGCTCCTTTCTTGTGAATTGTCAAGAAACATGCTAATTTGGGGTTTCCCACTGACACATTTTAATCACCCTCCCAGGATTTACTTCCCAGCTGCCAGAATACCAAGCTGCATTAAAAACTGCCTGCAAATAGTTTCCTACCAATACATGCAGGTCTTCCACCTCTCTCCCTCAGTTACTTTTGGAAGCAAAGCTACAACTGGGCTGGTAAAACGTGAAGGTTTGTCACTACCATCAGACTGCAGAGGAAATGTCTCAAGTACTGACCCCTCTCTGGAAGCGGGCTTTGGAGAGCCACTGCTGCACCCGCTTCTGCTGGAACGCCGATCCCCTGTTCAGCAGGAAAGGCCTGCTGGTAAAGAAGAGAGACAAAGAGGTGAGGATGATACCAGTTCTCTCTAACATTTAATGCCAAAATATCTAATCCAAGCTGGTCTTAAAAAGCAGTGTAAGAAGCAAATGAGGTTGTGTGTTACCAAGTTCAGCTCAACAGGTTTTTCTGCCAGCAAAGGATTTCAGAGGAACTTGATTTTCTGCTCAAATGAGGCAACAGTTTATGTGTTCTGAGCTTTTTTCATTAAAAGCAGAAAACGTGAGGAAAATCATAGAAAAAAAATCAGGTCAGAAAGGACTTCTCAATGTTATTCAGTCCCTGTTCTGCTCAGAGATGAGGAAGGATTCCAAGGAGCTTCCTTTCAAGCTCAGAGAACACATGGGATGAGACAGGCACTGAGACATGCCCAGCACCTGGCACACTGCCTTCCTCACAGCTCCTGGAGCACAGTCTGCTCCTGCAGCCCCTCACTGGGACAGACACCCTGTCTCTGCCCATCCCTTATGGCTGGAATCTGTATTTCCTGCCTGTATGAAAATAAATGCTATTTCACCCTTCAAAAGTGTTTCCCAAAACGAGGAAGTTTATTAAAAATACAAAGGTCACATTTTCTGTGCTTCCTGAAATAAAATCGGAGATTAATATCAGCATTATTAACTATGAGTGTGAGGTTGTTTCCTTTCCAGGTGCCTTCCTAACATAGTCAGGGGTATTTTTCTGGTGCTGCACATGCACATGGCTGTAGCCACACCCAGCTGGCATATACAGACAGAGGAATACAATGAGTTGCACAGCTAAAAACCACTGAAAACCAAAATAATACAGAGTTACCAAAGATTTTACCTTCTCTCTGGGGTGCAGATGCTGGCAGCATCTGCTCTGAATCTCTTGGTGCCTGGAGATGGCTGTGGCTGTTCCTCCTGCTGCCCACTGCTGCTTTCGGCAAAAGTATTGCTCTTCTTGGTGCCCTGAAAGAGCAGCAAGACCTCAGCAGCTGTCACCTGCAGCACAATCTTGGTACAAGAACAGGCAGTGAGGGCAAGGGACAGCACACAAGATGCTGCTCTCCTCTGACACTGCTGTCAACAATCAGGGGGTATGCCTTGCTTCCTGCACATGGAACTACAAGTGCCAGGGAGAATGTTTTGTTCTAATGTTGCAGAAACCAAAGAAGAAAAATAGATCAGTCCATGTAGAGCAAATCTCACAGAATCTGCATTACAGCCCTGCTCAGGTTTCCTTTTGATCATCAGCTCTTTCTTGTCTGGACATGCGCATTGCCTGAACCACACCCTGATGAATGAAACACACCAGAAGACCCCTCAGCAGGGTCTGACCTGCAGTTCCAACACACACTGCCCCAGGCTCCAGACTGGTGATTTCTGTGAGACAACTACCATCATGTTAGTACCAACTAACTGACGTCTATTTCCATATTCTTCCCCCTTGGTTTACTCCTGCAAAGTGGAAGCTACTGTAGAACTCTGCCTCCTAGCAACTGCTTATTACTCTCTGTAAAATACCAGGCACACTCAATATCTGAGTCATCCTGGTCTTTCTTTTCAGGAATAATCTTACTCCTTGCACATGCATGCTCAGTTTAGAGCTTTCTTATTTATACCCCTACAACACAGTCACTAAATGTGCCATCCTGTTCAGCACTTTCATTTTTTTAAAAAGCTTACGGAACATCTATGACCTCCTAACTGAGTGGATTTTCATCAGTGCAGGAAAACCCAGCTGCCTCTCACACTATCTGTCAGAGTAATGGGAAGCAGTGTCTCTGGTGGAAAGTATATCTCTGAACCAGAGTAACCTGACAAGTCAGCAAGTCTGACCTCTGACTTCACAGGAACTTGGAAAATGCTCTGGGTAGAGAACAAATAAAGAATCTTAACACACCTCCTCTAAATGATAATAGTAAGATGAGATGCCATGGAATTAATTTTTATGGAAATATTTTTAAACCATTTCATACCAATTTAAAAAACATCTTTTTTAGCAAAACCCATGGGAACTGATCAGTAAAATTATGCTAAGTCAGCAGCTTTATAAAATTAACTGTAAAATTGCTATTCCACATGCATGTATGTCTGTATTCACCTATGCATACAAATGCTGTGCACAGGCATTAAAAGATTTTTTTTTTTTTTTTTAGATTGTTCTTTGGGGTGATCCAGAATCATAAAATTGAGCAGATTTCTACATGACATTTGGGAAAAGCCATACCTTCTTTATTCCCTACCTCCTGAGCTGATGCTTGGCGATTTAAAGGACTCACTCCATCAAATGCAGCAGCTGCTCTTCTCTTGCGACCAGGTAAAGCATTCCTGAATTGTCTCCGATTGAATTGCTGCTGTCCAAACCCTCTTCTGAAATGGTTAGGTCCTAAAAACAAAGCCCTCTTACTTTAGCATCCTTCAAAATTTGGTTTATGATTAGTTTCATAAATAGATTACAAGGTTAACTTAATGTGAAACAGGAGTATCTACAGAAATAGTGGTGTAAAAGTCACACTCATATTAAATAATTAATTTTTCCAATGTCTCTCTAGGACTCTTATTGTATATAGGACTGCCATACACATTATTTGATGTGAAAGAATAAAGAAGAGAAAAGCCTTTCACAATTCTGATTCCTCATAAAGACAGGAACACCTACATCAGGAGACATGTCAATCTGTTGTCAGAGCTCAAACTGCTATGAATTAACTGCTATGAAACAGAAAAAGAATTTAGATACAGATATACACATGATCAAGCATGCCAAAGCCAACCCCACAGCAGCCTGAAATAGCTCTGAGGGACCACATCATAATATAATTTTTATTTATTTATTTATTTATTATCTTTTCGCTTGACACACCATAGCTTCTCGTATTGAAGGGGAAACTTCCAGCTGCTCTTATATGATACACACACACCCTCTGTCTGTCCTGCATTTAACCTTCTCCCCTAAGCCTGCTGATGATTTTGAAGAGTGCTGAAGAGCTGAACAAGAGGAAAGCCCTAAGCCCTGTCAGACTGAGGCACAGTGCTTCCAAACCTAATTACACCACATAATAAAATTCTGTAGTTGTAATGAGAGACTCAGAAAGTTTCTGAGTCACTGTGTGAGCTGACACAGTCACAACAACAATCACAAACCCACGGCTAGAATGCCAAGATGGAATTTATTTCTGTTACCTCACAAACCAGCAGATCCCTGAAGCAACACCTAAGCAGAGCCACTTTGGTCACCAGCACCATTAAGCTTGGCCCAGTGCTGGGGAATCACCAGGCTACTCTTCACACCAGTTTATCAAGGGTTTGCTTGAATAGGGTCATCACCACGCTGTGTTCTGATCTCTGTTACCAAGGCAGGGAGCTCAAGCATGTCCAGAAGGTGGCCCAAGTCCACCAAACACCTTCATTATCTATAACCAGATGTTCTACTTCTCAATGCACACAGAGGGTGAACAGCAGTAGACGTGTGTTTTCCTTCACTGCTGCTTCTGACTTTGCTATCCCCAGAAGGTCACTTAAGCCCCTCTGTTTTGAGCCCATTCCCCCCAACAGCTGCTATACCAGTGAGATGTGCCCACACCTGGGGGCTGTATAAATTAGGCACAAATCTGTGCATGGCAGAGGGCAGTGGGAGTGCACTCAAACCTGGGTCTCACAGCAGAACCTCACTGACACAAACCACAGAGCAGTGAGGTGCATATATTGGTCTAATATCATTGACTGCTACATGGCAGCAATTTATACTGCCTTGGAGCAACTGGAAATGAAGTGTTCTGAGGAAGCAGTGTTGTTGCTGTGAGGGGTCACAACGGCCACAATGAATGAAGGCTCCAGCTTCAGGGTGTAACACCAGCCAGCACCAGCTGGAGCTGCCTACACTGGAACATGCTTGAAGATCATTTGAGCTGCTCTGGCTCTAAAACAGAAGGGCAACAGTACAGGCCCTTGGGAAGCAGATCCCAAAAACCATGCTCATGCCCCATGGCCAGAGGTGCTGGTTGAGAACTGAGAATGTGCACAAAAACGTAACACAGTTCACAAGCTCTGGGGTCAGCTGTTGTTTCCTTTGCAGACAATGCCCTCTCATTGCAGAAGTGCTGGTGTGTAAATGTTCCTCTGGTGACAAACATTCAATTTCGGCAAACTGTTTCTTTTCGACCACATGTGGACTTGCTGTAGTCAATGTCCCTTTGATTTTTTTCTCCTGCTTCTATTCCCCCAGTCTGTTTTTAGCCCTGTCTTCTTTCTCTTCAGCCCCCACCCTGGGCCTGTCCCTATCTCTTGCCCATTTGCTGGACTGCTCTCCTCCTGGACACCCAGCTTTGCTGCACAGTTCTCCTACACCCTGGAGAGGACAAGAGACTGAGCTCAGCTGCCTTTCCTGGATACTCTATAAGGGCAATGGGAGGGATGGCTGCAGAAGGTAGCCCTGACTAGAAAATTGTGTCCCTGTCAGTCTGTTCCTATTAGAGAGCCTGTGCTCAGCAGTGCACTCAGGCACAACTCATTCAACACAAACAACACATGACAGAGCCATCAGCCTCCAAGGCGGACTCCATCACACCAGCTGGGGACCAAGGCCTTGCTCTGCCATCTGTGTCCTGAAGTGTGACACATGGGAGGCTTCATGTCTGCAAAAGGCCTGGCACATATTTAATACAATGTAAGAACATTTCAATAAAACCGCACAGCATCAGCAGCTGGAGAAGAACCCCCGCCCACACACCCCATGTGTGTGCTCAGACCCAGGCTCTGAACACAACTGGGATGGCCAAAAGGCACCTCTGCTCAGCCAGTCCAGAGTAAGTTTCCACATCTGACAGACTCTTTTTTCCAAGGAGATTTGAAATTCTAATTTTACGTAATTAAAAATCATCTTTCCCCCACTAGGGAAAAGGTTTAAGCCATATTCCAAGAGGGATTAACAGCACTTTGCTTGCTGGTTTAATCAGCATACTACCCCTTCCCCCTCCTCAGTCATTACAGTGCTGGGCTCCTCAGATCATCATTTTGATAATGGTTATCACATCTCAGCCCAGAAGGGACTGCATTTCAGCAGCAACCAAAGTGAACAGAGCCCCTGGATGAATTATGGGCTAAATTCCCAGTCATGTTGAGCTTCCCCAAATTGCTACTGACAATCAGCACCACACAGCATGGCAGGTCTCTGCACTTGGCAGGGCTGAATTCAGACTCATTGGAAACCTATGAAATGCTAAAACTAGCCAAAATAATTATATAAATTAACAGAAAAGCTCTCCCATCTAAGAAATAGGGAAAAAATATTTTATTGGATTTGCCTCTGAATGCAGTAATTGCTTGAGTGAGGGAGAATATCAAAGCCTGAGGGTTTTGACAGAAAAATCAATTTGCTAAGGGCATTTATCACCATTATGATTGAACTAGAACAATCCTCAGTAAGGCACTGTGAGGTGGACACCAAGAACACAAAGGTGGGAGGCAGAGCAGAGACAAGCAGGATATCTCCCAGTGATCCCACTATCCTGATCTGTGATTGGTACTCCAATGTACAACTGAAAAGATATTTCTGCAAAATATCACTAAAATCTTCAAGGATTGACTTAGCAGTAATTAAAAAAAAAGTTTGCAGAGATGTCATTTCATGCAGCAGATAATTGGTTTGTAGGTAAAAGCCAGTGGAACGAAACAAAGGTGTGAACACATGGTATTATAAAAAAACCTCACCATAAAAAATAGCATGCTTGGCAAAAGTGACTATTTAGCTTCAATAACTGAGCTATCAAATACAGTTATTGAGGGGGTAATTTCTATAATTTAAATCTGCTCTGGGAAAATGAGGATTAGGAACAGGCATAATTAAAATATGCAAAGCCAAGGGGAATAGAGAATAGATATTAAGTCACTTTAAATTAGTAATTCATTAGAGCGGAAGGGAGAGAAATGGGCGAATTATGCTCTAAAAGGACACTGATATTCCATGGTTATGGAGAGAAAAGCTAATCAGAGCCTGAGTGCATCTTATATGCACACAGAAATTGGAAAGGAGAAGGATTTAAGAGATGGATTTTGCTAAAAAATGCATTTCCCAGCCTGGCCAGCCTCTGCGGTCTCAAGTGCCCATCTACCTTGCAAATTCCTCTGCTTCCAGGATCGGTACTGGGGCCGCCCATATCCGGAGACTGAACTCCTGTTCTTGACCTGCTGCCTTCTGCTGTCGCCCAAGGCACTGGCATCTATCTGCTCTTTCCTGTGGCGCTTTATGATGTCATCTAGAATGAAATTAGGAGAAATCCATAGAAACTGCACTTTCCACCAACAGTGAGTCCCTCTTTGGGTGCTTGGAATTGTCTGCGGTAAACATGGACCTTGCTGTTCTGTGAGCTACATGGGGCAGACAATGAAAGATTAAGCTTAGCTTAGAAAGTATAGGATCAATTTACTGGGCTCCTGTGGGCTGGAGATTAGAGCGCAGCAAATGATTTACAAATGCACCACCATTGAGCACACCCCCACCATGGGCAGGACAGAGATTTCAGACTGAGGAGTCTGATCCTGCAGGCTTCCAACAAGCTTAAGGAAAGATGTTTTTGCAGGGGCACCAGGAGCTCAGTGCTGGATAGAGAACTTTTTTGAGGTCTGACTTGAGTGGCTGTAGGAAAGGTGGCCAATGTGGGGAGAATGTGACAGTTCTTGAGCTACTTGGATCATGCACAAAGTACTGCCAGATGTAGAGCTCCATCGAGAAACAGCTCAGCCCCCTCCATTCTCAATCAGCTGGTCTGCAATCAATGGGATCTTCCTAATTCAAGCTGTTCTGATGCAGAGGAATGGCAAAGGCAAAAGGATGTCTCTTCATTAATTCATATTTTCCAACATTTTCTTCTTTTAACTCCATATCTTCCAGAAAATGCTTTGCAATTATTTACAAATAATAAAGGCACATCTGTGAAGCTGCACGCAGAATGTTTTAACTTGAACGAATTAGCAAGAAACAAAGTGTCCAAAACAGGCCATTTCCCAGGCAGTGGCTACTCCAGCTCCTTAATATATCACTGGAGTCAAAGGACAGAAGTACCATCAGCTTTCAGTGAGTGCTTACCATGAATTATCAGACCTCCAGCACTGGTCCCTTGTCATTTCCTATCAAGAAACTCCTGTGTCCTAATGAATAAAAAGCCCAAGGAAAAGAAACAAGAGCATGTGTAAGAACAGGCTGCTTTTATGATTTCTCTTTCAAGTCTCCCAGGAAAAGAACAGGCTGGGAGATGCTGGGGCATGTTCTTGGGATAAATTTGCTAATGGTCTCAGCTAAGTGTGCCTTTGGGACATGTGTGATTTGGAGCACAGGATGCTTTGAAGTGTTTTGAAAGCATCCCTGCTTGCTCTGCAGGGAGGTGACCACACTCATCCAAGGGTGGGCTGTCCACAGCATGAGGAAATGAGAGGGGCTGAATGCTCAGGTGCCTGATCTGTCACCCTTCAGTGTCTTTTTTGTTTGTGAATGAGTTGTTAACCTGGCTTTTGTGCCCATAAACCTGATGAGGTAAACAGAGTGATGTAATAGACTACTACACAAGGCTGCAAGGGAAACCTGAGAGATCATTGACCATACATGTATGCCCTCAGGCAGAATTAGATCTATCAGGGCAGCTTTAAAGCAGCTACTGCAGATTTTTTTGTGACTGCTAACTTATGTAATGCACAAATGTATGCGAAAACACAAAAAAACCACCTGATGGAACAAATTCTTCACCAGGGGCCTCTTGTTTTCCAATTCTCTCTTCTATCCTGAGTAAGGTGTATTCTGGATGGAATATGGAGCTAGACTACAGGAAGTCTGACTGAGAGAAGCACTGAGGGAGATGAAAAGCAAAGGGAGCATGACACATCAGCAAAGAGGAAAAGGGTGTGCAGCACTATGGAAGAAAAATAAATCAAAAATGAGCTATAACTGTTGCTATAGCTCCTCATAGAGACATTAAAATAAGGGTGCATAAGCCAAGGGATCAGTTTAAGTTTGCAGTGGAAAATGTTCGTTGTTTCTAGCAAATGACTTTTCACTGGGAAGAAATGACACAAGGTTTCAGTTAGGAAGCTGACCCAATAATAAAAGGTGCTGGTGGAGTTTCCTTTCACAGCAGAGACATCAACACGATAATCCATCAAGATCTCTCATGCATGCGTCAGAATCCAGGCCTGGGGAGTTCATGACAGGGCGGTTGATAGTTGCTTATGCACAGTCCACATTCCCCGTGCCAAAGGAATGGCGAGCATCAGAGCAAGCTGCTATAAATAGCAAGGCGAGGCCATGGCTCCCCTTCCGCTGTCACCGGGGCTGCTCTGCGTTAGTCCCCCGGGCCGCCCTGCCGTGAGCTCCGGGCTGCTGCCAGCCCAGCGCCGAGCCCGGGGCCCGCACGCGGCCCCTCTGCCCGTGCTGCCACTCAGACAGGGGCACCCGCACAGCGGGACCACCTCCGGCCCGAGCCCGGCCCGAGCCATCCTGCACACAGCCATCCCAGCTCTCCCGCCCGTACGGAGGGCCCGGTCCGGCCCCGCCGCCCGGCAGAGCCCCGCACCTACCCAGGGACATGTCGATCTCCTCGGCCCCCGGTTGCGACCCCGCCGCGGGCTGCAGCCCCGCCGTCTCCATGGACCCGGAGCCCTGCACGCTCACTGCGCCTGCCCGTCCCGGCCCGCCCCGCGGGGCCCTCGGCCCGGCCCCGTCGTGCCCCGTCCTGCCCTTTCCGGCCCCGTGCCCGACCGCTCTGTCACTGTGGCGAGGGGCCCGCTCCGCGGCTGCCCGCGCTCAGCCCTGCCCTGCTGCCTGCCCTCCGCACCCTCCCCGGCGATCCTGTCCATCAGCACCTCCACTCCATCTCTCTCTGCCTTAAGCACCGTGCCTCAGCCTCTGGGCTGACACTCTTCCGCTTCTCCCCCCGAATTCTCCTCCTCCGGAGTTTATGCCAGCAGCACATGTATCTTAACAACCCGGCAGTCAATTCTGAGACGTGAACGATGGAATGACCTTGCTTCGTTCGGAAGCAAGGCAACTACACGAACAGAGATACTCGTGGCTCATATTCGTGCACGTAGTCTGTTCTCATATTTGTGAGCGCCTGGAGGAGGAAGCACCCATTTGGAACTAGTCTTGGGGCAGCATCCCGATTACTCACAGAACTCAGATTTCTCAGGGATCTTTCAGTCTCTGTAGCATTGGTTATGGCACCGAAGCTATTCTACAGTCTACAAAATGGAAGCTAAACCATCTTCCTCCACTTTAAAAGACAGTTGAAGAAATAAAAAAAAAAAAAAAAAGACAGGAGGACAATATCTTCCAAAGAGCTGCCATGCATCAAGTGAGAAGCATGCTTTTCTCTGAAGTTTCCACAAGATAAATGCTGTGAAATTAACTTTCTCACCATGTACATAATAGGGGCCACATAAATAATGAACAGTGTCTGCATGTTTTGTGTTTTCAATACAGTGGTTTTTTTCTACCTTGCACTTCAAATGGGAGAGAAATTTCTACAAGCAGATCAATCAGGGCAAGAATTGCCTCCTGGTATGTGTACAGCCCTTGGAAAGATCAAGTGCTTCGGAAAGTGTTGGTTTAGGGAGTCTTTCTTTCATGAAAGAAAATAATAGAACAGTTCTGAGGGAGCAACAAATAACCTTTGCTGTATTTTGCAGTGATGCTGCAGAATGACTATGGAAGCAGATTAGTGTGAGATGTGAGGAACCGGGGTTCATATCCTGTTTGCAATGTTCTGTGGTACACAATGTGTGCTGGGCGCTCTGCTCTTCTCTGAGGAACCTGGCTCTACCACTGCCATAGTTGAAAAGCTTTACTCCAAAGAGAATCCTTGACATTTCTCAGCAATTTAGCCAGAGTATCCAGAGAAGTTGTGGCCGCCGGGAAAGGGCTGGAAAACATATAAGCCCAGTTTCTAGTGATGTACTGGGAGAGGAGGTTTACAGCTGTATTATTTCCTAGCTCTGAAGGAGGGTGCTGGAGCAGGACTCTGGGCAGTGTCACACAAAGCAGCAGCTGTCCAGAGACACGAGGGAAGGACTGCAGCAGGTGTTTGGAGTCTCCTCTGGTGAGGCCAGCCATGAGATGAATGACCCAAGTTTCCACATGGCTGGAGCAGTGGTCACTCTGTGAGGCAGTGTCATGAAAGCTTTCCTGGCTTTCTGCAAAATCTTGGACACTTGTATCTTCAGAAGCTCTGGAAGCAACAGCTGAGAGATTTCCAGCAGTGTTTCTGTTTGATCCCATTTAGCAAAACAAACACTTGAGACCAAAGAACACAAAAGCGGAGTTTAGAAATGGCAATTTCTAAAATATTCAGAGGACATTTTTTCATGGAACTACAACACAGCTTTTGCAGCAAATTCCACTTCACCAGCTGAGAGGTTTAATTAACTGCTTTCCTTCAAGTGCATAGCATTAAAGGTAATGACAAAACCTTTCCAAGTCATATTTCTTAATCTGGGGAGTATGAGCTGATATGTGCTCTTGTCTCTCAACTGCCAGTCTGTGACTTCTTAACATCTTGGCAAGTGTCCCATTTGCTTAGTATGTCTGAACACTGCCCTCACCTCAGTCCCGAGTAATTTCTCACATCAACAGTGGAGGTGACACATGCTGGAGCTGGTGAAAAGGCCTGAAGAGCCAGAGCCTCCTCTAAAGCACAATCCCCCTTCACTGAAGAGGACTGCAGGTGTCTGGAAGACAGACTTGACTCTGCATCCTAAAAAAGGATCATCAGGAATGTGACTTTCACAACCAAAAAGTGAAATTAATAAATGAACAACGAAAAAAGAAACTAAGGGGGGGGGGGGGAAGGGAAGTATTTATGTTATGCTTTCTTCTAGAAGTGTTTTGTGTTGACTCACTGATACTGTGGCAACAAACCATCAACCAACAAACCCCTGAAAGAGCACTGGGGTACCTCTGCCAAGGGTGCCAGGTATTCCTTTCTGTTGTTAGGCACAGGCAGGACCAACTTGTTCCAAAAGAGCAGGTGTTACTTTGGGGTGCTGGGCCTTTCAATGTATCAGATGCTCTTCTTGTC